ACTTATGCCTGTGCATGAGTCGACTTATGACCAAAAATCTGCTTTTTCCAATTCTTCTCCACACATTTAGTCTATAGAAAATAAAGATAATACTTTTGACGTAAGTTCAAAGTCATTGTGATCATCATCATGCAAGTTTCTTTTTTTCCATGATGAACAAAATTGAAGTTAAGATATATACATTTGTGCAGAGAATTTATAACGCGGAGTCAATCATTTTTGTTGTGTAACTCTAAAAGTCAAATCTTTATGGCCGCGTCAAGTAACTCTTGTTCAAATAACTACGAGGGTTTGCACTCATCTGTTGGTCGTTACTTCTGTCTAACCTATACAATTCATGTACGATACCAATTAATTGTATCTTCTTATCTAAGCAATGACATTATTCATTCTCCAAAAAATTGGCTCACAAATTAAGTATCTACAAATTAATTCATTAACCCATCAACATTTCAATGAAAATTGGATATAATGTGACAACTCATTTAACCAAATAACATGTCAAAAGATACACTAGTAATAAGGTTCCTTTTGTTAGTCATATCGGAACAGCTAGACCTCACAACTTTTATCTCTTGACAGATCATTTTGCTAAATAAATTGTTAGCTCGTATCCTATATCCCCTATTTTTAATCATTGAATCTCTTTCTTCTTGTGCTACTTTGATACATGAATGCTCCATTACTTTTTCCATGAGAACACGGTCGTTTTTCATTTAACACGTGGATCATTAACAAGATTAATCACCTCATGCATGAAATTTCCAATTAATATCGTTTTTCAAGTGAATTAGGAATCTTATTTACTCATAGAGATCTATGTGATCAATGCCAAAAGGTTGAGTTATGCCTCCAACCAATACGCTTACATTTGTGGAAATAATCCTTCTCATCTATTCGAAACTTAAAATTAATTTTATAGTTTAAGCATTTAGATGTAACAACAAAAAGGATTAACAATAATAAAATCCAACGTAGTAACTACAATAACAGCATAAATCCTTACAAATAGTAAGAACTTAAAACAGACAGGTGTTACAAAATCTATACACAACAAAAGGATTACAAGCATCCGTCCACGTGCGAGTAATGGCCATGCAGAGATTACAAAAATTATCTCGTGGGTTCCATTAATCTTCTGTTTATTAAATTAGAAATATATCATTATTATATAAGGGGTAGCCATTAATCAAGGAGGGGAGGAATTAAGGGAATTAATTAGAGGTTAACAAAACCGGCAAGTAATTTTTGGCTGGTCTTTTGGACTCATTCGTTTCTCTTCGACCGTATCTCTCTCCTCACAAATCTCTCTCACCTCTTTCTCTCTCTAGAAATTGTTTGGCTTTCCCTCTCTCTCTCTTTCTCTGCTGAATTCTAATATCCAGCCCAACCGTCTACTCTTTGAGAAATCCGCCATTATTTACTCCTCTTATGCCATTTACTCTCTTTATATAAATTTGGATTTTGGGTCTTCTGTTTCATTTCAATTAGAGTTGTGACAAGGAAGAAAATGGCTGTTCAAACTCATCAATATTTTTCCAATGCTCTGCATCTTAAGAGGTACGATCAGTATTATTACAGGAAGTTTATTCCTCTTTTTTTTTTCTTTTTTTTTGGCCCTTCTTCCATTTTTTTGGCTTAATTCTTATTTTGCTTTCCTTTTTAGAAAAGAACAGGAGATGAACTCAACTGGATTCGAAGCTTTGAATGAATCCTCAACTTTGTTATCAACTATTGGAGGTAATTCAGTGGTGGTGTCCACTTATTTTAACTTCAATTGATTTTTTTTTTTTTTTTGCTCAGACTGTTTTGAGCTTATTGGATTAAACCATAAGTTTGTGAGACAAATTCTTTTTAGGTTTATTTCGAGTTAATATACAGGAATGGAGGCTTCTAGTTTTAAAGTTTCAAATTAAATCTAACCAGACTTTGCAAATGAGAAATAAGTTTGAAGCTCTTTCTTCTGTTAAATATCAAGTTGTTTTGCTTTATTCTTTACCAAGAGAAATCGATCAGTCTAGTCTCTGTTTCCTTTTTCCTGTATTTTATTAAAAAAAAAACAATATTTTGTATTTGGATGCTTGCTTTTTTCACGTCAAAAGTCCTTCCACATCAACACATTATCAAGTTAGGAACTGAAAATAAATTTTAATCTTTTTGGCCAAAATTCAGGTTATATGATAAATCCAAAGGAGGGAAACCAATACTTGATACAATCACAACCGTCGATTCCCCGGCCTCAGAAGATAATAAGACTAGATCAGTATCAGCAGCGAAGTCACAATCCTGCATTGAAATCCACTGGGCTTCAACTGGCATCTGGAGAGCAAAATTTGAGCCAAAATGTGAACCAGATCAATCCCCTACTCTCCTCTTCTCCCCTTTGCGAGGATTTTTCAAGTTCAGTTGGCCAATACAGCAAGGAACTTGACCAATTACTGCAAGCTCAGGTACTTCATTGTTCCTTTCTCAACTTATTCTTCTTTGCTTAAAGAAAACTCCACAAAAATGCTTGGGGAATTGAATATATTTTTGATGGGATCATACTTTTCAATGATGTACCTATATACTAGTAAATATATACATGTTATGAAATAGTATAATTACAAACCAGCATCACTTGAGATAGAAAATAGTTTTTGAATGAATGGTTAGGATTATTAATGTCATAATGAGGGTTTGAGAAGATCTCTTAATAAACTAAAAGAAATGCTAAATGTAGAGTTGACACAGTAAAGTTCGGTACGGCAGAGTTTTTTAAATTCCAGACCGAAACCAAATAAAGCTATATTTTTAATGATAAAAAGTAAGAAAATTCAAAATATACAATATATCCTGTACTGTTCTCTTTCTAAGTTTTGAAGTAGAGAAAACTTTTAAAACTTTCTAAGGGATTAGCATTTTTTTTTAGATAAATAAAATAATCAGTTATGTAATCCAACAGCCGTTATCTTTGATTCAGAAGTAAATAATTTTCTATTTCAAGAGAAATCATGTTTTGGAATGAAAAAGGGTAAACTTATGTACATTAGAAAGATGATCTTCCAACTTGTTAAGAGGTATGTGTGAATAAATTATGCATTGACAACCCATTACTTTTCCTTTTCACATATACCCTCCTGATCTACAAATAGTATCACGAGATATAGAAGCAAAACATTTTACGAAGAAACTAGTTGCTGCCAGTGCGATGTATAGTACTTTGTATACCTACTGTTTCACACATAATGTGATAGTATTATCATATGACAAATACATCTTAATGTGAACATCCACCAAAATTATTTTCTTTCATAGAAATGTGTTAGATATGGTTAGTAATACGTGAACTAAGAATACAAATTTTATCAGAATACCCGCATACAGCGTATGCTACAGGGTGATCACCGACACCGATCAATATCATTCACGGGGTTAATTTGATAGTTGTAACTATTTCTGTTTATAGTGCAAACTTTCCTACTCCTAATGATTTGCATTCAAAAACTAACATAGGTAAGATTGTTTTCAACAGAGGGAGTTTACAAATTAACTAACACATTGCATTCATGCAACTAATACTAATTAACTTATAATTTTTTTTTGCTTGTGTCAGGGAGAACAACTTCGACAAGCACTAGCCAAGAGCCAACAATCCCACTACAAGCAACTCCTCCAACACTTAGAAAAATCGGCAGCCAAAATCCTCACCGAAAAACAAACCGAACTAAACCAACTCATCCAACACACCTCCAAGTTACAAAACCACCTAGCCCAGCTACAATCCGAATCCTTCGGTTGGCAGTCCAAAGCAATCAAATCCCAGACAATTGCAAACTCAATCCGAGCCCAAGTACAGCAGATCCAGCAGGAGTCGGTAGTCGCTGAAGACGCCGGTTCGTCGTGCACCGAACCGAACAGGACGGACCCCGACGACGGGAGATTGTCGTGCAGGGTGTGCAGGAGTCGGGCAGTGTCTGTGGTTGTGTTGCCGTGCCGGCATTTGTGTTTGTGCGAGGATTGTGACGGTGGTGGTGAGGTGAAGGCTTGTCCTGTTTGTGATTGTGTTGGGAGTGGGAGTGTGAGAGTTTTCTTGTGTTTGAGAGTTTGTTTGGTTGGCAGTGGTAGAGAAGACTCCCCCCCCCCCCCCGTTGGTTCTTTATTAAGTTAATCTTAATTGATATACATGATGTATTTTTCCCCCCTTTTTTGTTGAATTTCTTAAAAACGTAGTAGTTTGCTGTTAAAGTATTTCTTAATTAGTAATGTTCTTTAGATTATAAAATTAGAATCTAGAAGCCAAAGAGCAACTTGAAGGTATGTCCAAATATACAAGAGGTTGTTTGGTTAATGGGAACTAAGGCCCCGTTTGGCAAAGGGTTAATGAAGAGGGGTTAAAGAGAAGGATTAATGTACTTAGCCCATTTGATAATCCGAAGGACTAAATTATTAACCTGTTAAATAAGTTTTATTTTAGCTCTTATGATCAGTTTTAGTGTTTGGGAATAACAATGATTTTGACTATTTTTTTTATAATTAGAAGGGTTAACTCTTATTCCATCTAAATAGGAGTATTAGTAAACCCCTCATTTTGAGGGGTTAACTCATTTTAACCCCTCTAGAGGGGTTAACTTAACCCTTCTATATTTTTTATGTTTGGCAAATTATGGAGGGTTAACTCACTTTAACCCTTATATAGATTTTTTGTGTTTGGTAGGTTAAGAAGGGGTTAAGTCTTATTAACCCCTCACTTAACCCTTTGCCAAACGGTACCTAAAGTTATAGGAATAAAAGTTGCCGTCAAATCTCTATTTTCAACGTTTAGTTAGAAAGTGTAATTTGATTTGCACTTCGTCGAAAAATTGCAACAAAAATATAAAATCCAATAACTAGTGCAAGCCTGCAACTAATGAAATATTTAATTTGGATTTGGAAATGCATTGACTTTAATAAAAATACATACAGCCAATAGATGATATTGAAAAAAAAAATTCCCCTTTCCATAATAGATGTTACATGTAGCATTTATATGTGCAAGGCTTGTAACATTTGCAATCATAGTGTACCAAACAATTTCTGCACGTAGGGCTATTAGGTTGAATGGAAATACAGTTGCCAAACCAAATAGAACAACCAAATTTGTAAATATATTGTTTGGTTTGCAACTTTGTAATTAGCAAAAGTAAGTAGACTTGCATTTTGTAGAAAAATGTTACAACAAATGTTACATCAAATTTGTTGGGAGAAAAAACTGCAAGCTTAAAAAAAGAAATTACAGAAATAAAAATAATTACACCTCACCAAAATAAATCTTTTCACATCTAAATAGAAAAATCATCTAAACAAAAGTTTTCTTATTAACACCAGTTGCTTTTTAACCAAACACTGAAATTGCATTGAAAATACACTTCCTACAATATAATTGCAGATAGTCAGACAATAAATTTAAAGTCGATTTCCCGCAACAAATGTTGCAGCAACATTTGCTGCAATTTATTTTTGCAGTGAACCAAACAACCCCGTGGGGTTGTTGCCTTTACAATTGTGGCATACCAACATATCATAAGTTTGCGTTTACAATTACAGCATACCAGCAATATCATAATTCTTCTCTTCATATTAACACTTTGCAGTTTGCATCCTCTTCATATATCCTCTCTTATTCCTAATTGATCTCAAAATATATCACAAGAATCATGAAACTTATGTCCAAAGTCCAACTTATAAAATAGCCGATGCTTCTTAGATTAGTAGATGTTAACGTGCTTTTCATCCTTTACAAAAATTCTTCATTGCCTCCTTTATAGAATCTCCTCTTGTCCCTATATATAACCCGGGTATTATGTGGGTAATTAATTGGCATCTGAAGTTATTAAAAAAATACTAATAATAAAACAAAAACAAAAAAATATATTAAAACTAGTGAGAGATTCACAATTGGAGGCGTAGATGAAATAATAAAGACACGGTTTTCAGTATAAATCAATGAACGTGCTGTTGACCATAACATTATAACATTAGTTTTCAATTTTGTCTCTTTTTCTTGACCGACGCATGAAGTCATTAGGCCATATGATTCAGACTCGAAATCTACAAACAAATGCAAAATACCAACAATTAAAGAAAAAAAAAAAGTTCGTTCTGCCTCAAACCTATTGATTGTCTACAATGATTGAACTAATTTATCTATAATAAAAGGTGCTGATCTTCCAGGAAATTCTAAGTTCCTCTCTTGTCTGTTGGTAAGTGATAAAAAAAATACAAACAAAAGCAGGCAGAGAAGACATGGATTGGTGTAGAAATCTTTGATGACGAGTTAACAAATAGCCAAATTCATATTTGGCTATTTGTGATGACAATAAAACATGATAATGATGTAGATTATGGCTTCAAGGAACTTCCGAGAAATTCATCTTTGGTTGTTTGTGCAAAGATCTGGAGGAAAAAATTTATTGCTTACAAGGCGTGTAAAAGTAGACAACGCCTCAAAAATTGAGATTGATTAGCTATCAACTTTAAACTTTGAGACTTGCTACCTAGACTTATTTTCGGTTTATATTTCTTTATGTCCAACTGAAAAAATCTCAGAAGAGAAACACACTGAAATATCAAAAGATCTCTCCGCAACATATTGACATCACATGACACCCATATTACAGATACATTTTATCTTTGTTGTATTTTACTTGCTTGTGTTCTCCTCTACTCTTCTATATGCACATACATGACACATGACACATTATAATCTCGCGGCTCTCTCACTCTACACCGCCTATATTTTGTTCATTATGATAAAGAAAACCAACCATAATTAAGAGAAAATATCAGGGATGAGCTGGTAGGAGGAAATTTCTCTTGTGATGGTTAACTAGTTCATATGTCACCTTTGAATTGAACGCTCACTGACTACATATTATCTCACCTATATAACACCTAAGTATCATTAACTATATTAATCGAATAGTTGAAAGAGACATTTCTATCTTTAAGCCTATGAGCAAAATAGTATGGAGATAACAAGATATTTTCAGACAATGAAATCAACACGGATGAGGTGCAATCAAGAGCGGAGAAAATTCGTTTCATATTGACAGTTGGTACACATTATACATCTTCTTATTAAATTAAACTTGGAATGATAATTTGATAAGCTGAAAAAATTTTATTTTGATTGTCTAATATTTAATATAAGAAATACCTATGTATTTTTTATTTTATTTTATTTTCTGATGATCAGGTCTCTTAGGGACAAAGTCAACCATTGTGCATTAGCAAAATTCCTTATTGAAGCTATCCTTGATGAAGAGGACTTCTCTGAAGTCTAGTAGAGATCTATTTATGTTTTATTTCTGGAGGAAATTATTACGTTAATCTCAACAATATTTAATATGTTGTTTTTGACTAATTCCAGATGTGGTGATATATTGTATGGATTTATTATCTCATTGTTTATCTCGTCTACTGTTTATTCTTTATATTTACCAAGGAGGACGGTGCCAGAGTGGGGAAATATGACATGGACGGCCAAAAATGAAGTAGCAACAAAGGAAAAAAATTAAACCAAACTGTTCTTAGCACGAACTTAATACTAGTAATATTTTAACATAAAAAACTATGTATTTTTTTTCTTTTTCCTTTCTGAAGATCAGGTGCACTTTAGTATCCTTCAAATTTTTAGCCCTGTCTTACATATTATCAATTAATCAACAGTTTCTATTTATCAAAATCTTTTGTCAACCAAGGGAACGCTTATCCAAAATCTACATGGGCCCAGGTATTTTATTTTTTTTCTTTTGATAATGTATATTTATTTGACTTTTGCATGAAATTGGATGATTGCTAACAGAAGCTCATGAAAAATTGCACTTTTAACAAAATCCTAATATTTTCAGTTCAACGATTCTTATGAGGATCTTCATAAAAGGTTGAAATAGATTGGCATAGAAATTTCCATAATTTATCCAAATTATGTATCAGCAGAATGCAGGTGGTTTCTTCTAGGAAACAGGAGGATGATGATGAAATAAGCAACCCTGAATACAACCATCTCAAGTCATCTAGTCCAAAGCCAATCTTAAACTTGAATGTTAATTTTCTTTTTTATATCAACTAATATGGGTGAACTTTCTGCCGTCCGTGGGAATCATATAAACATTCGGTTTTCCGCTGGATTTGCATTTAATTTGTGATATGTGGAGAGTTAAACAGGTAAGGAATGCTTTTAATTAGAATTTTGATGCTGAATATGTTTGCATCCAGCAGAGAATCTATAACTTTCCAATTTCTATCGGAAGCATATTGAAGACAATACCCCCCCCCCCCCCCCCCCCCCCCCCCCCCCCCCCCCCTCACAACAGCTTTTTTTTTTATTTATCAGAATTGAGACTCTTGAAATGAATGTGCATGTCAACTTTATACTAACATTTGAATCTTTTAAATGAGTACGCATGGCGACGGTGAAGGAGAAACTGACACCACTATGGAGTGTTCAAGAAGTGTCAGGTGTTTTATCCATGATAATTAGACTGTTAATGAATTATTGATTCCTCTAACAACCCTTATATTTGTTTGAATCCATCCGCATTCCACAGAATTGTCTACATAAATTTGTTATTCTTCAATTTACTGCGGGTGCCTGTCGAAAACTGGGACAAATATAAACAGCCTGATGAACAAGACTACATCGAAGGCCTTTCACATAATCTAGATATCGAGCCATCAAGGGAGGAGCTTTCAGACTTATCAAATGCCTGTAACGGATTATGGGAACTTGATTTGAACCGATTAGCCCACGGAAAAGATGACGAAATTTCCTGTGGTGAAGGGAAAAAGAAGTCTACCAAAAGCAGGATACGGCATCACAAAGCCTGTTTAGTTGGCTAGTCAATGATATACTTACACGACCTACTTATTGTCGTTCTCTTTTGGATAATTACAACTCCAATTCGGGGTATAAAAATTGTTGCTGTCGAGGAGAAATACGAGGAAATGGCATTTACGAAGGAAATCAACAGGACAACACCGATCAAATGTTTGTATTCGTATCTTGTTTCTTCAGGTATCATCTCTGAGACCTATGAAGAGTTTTAAGAGAATGTTGCAAAGACTTTGGTTTGGTCTCTATGGAAGAGGAGGTGGATCTAGCTCATCTTCTTCCTTTGAGCGTGACTTTGAGTCGTGTGACACTAGTTAATTACTCAGTATATACATAACTTGGAATTATAAGCTGTAACACAAGCTACATTGCTATTCTAAGGAATCAATGACAATTAATGTCAAACATACGTACACAATTCCAAAGGGGTGTGTCAGGTTTTGCTCGATCTCCTGTAAGTATATAACAATACAATGATGATACACCTCTTTTTTTTCATTTTCACCATATAATGATCATTGTTTTGTATCGAATTTTGCAGCAGCACTTTGAGACTCAGTTGCTCACAGTTCAGTTTGAATGGAATGGCATTCTGAAAGCAGTCTCCAGCACTTTCAGTTGGAGTAAGCCCTGAGTTTGAAATTGCGTTATACACTCTTTGCTCCTCTGTAGGTGGAGAGAATAATCAGGTTTTCTCCGTGCCATGTCATGTGAATATCAAATGTTATCGTATGGGAAACAATATGATTGGTTGTCTTTCCTGTAGCTGCTGAATGCTCATTTTGAGGCCTGAGGGAATTTCTTAAAGTATTGATGTGTTCACTTTTTTGAACTCTGCTAATATATGTTGATGGTGAAAGTGAACTATATTGTTGTCATGCAGCTCGGTTCTCCCAACAATTTGTTCTCTAACTAGCAAACAATGATTTTTTCACTTCATTTCAAATTACTTTAATCGATGGATGTATTTTATTTTACTTATGGCCGAGGCTTTGAAGTTTGAACCTCCTGATTCTTTCCATTTTATGATGGAAACCAAACTCAATAATCTAACTTGTTTGCATCAGCCAGTTGGCATGGGTGTGGACAGTTGTGAAACAAAGCCAATGTGTAGTTTTCGACTCTTCTATAAACCCTGAAACACCTATTGATGCTTTTGCCCCTAAATTTCTCAAATACAGTAGCATAATATGGGTGTGAGACATTCATTAATTCAAAAAAAACAACAACAGCAAGAAATCGTTTAATTCTAAAGTTTCCTTCATGCAAGGTGTGGTGAATTTGAACATAAAGTTACTGTTTCTTATAGATTTCACAATGTCACAAAGCCGCATCTCATTTTAACAGTAGTCATAGAAGAGATGGCATCAAAATAATTTTCCATTTGCTTCAATTCTTAACACAAAACTAGAGACTATCTACTCACAGACGGAAAACAAAATTCTTCAAAAAGATCCCGAAAATCTCTCCGTTCTAGATGATGCATTCCTACAAAAATCAAATCATCCATGCCTGTGTAAGTTACCAAAAATAGCTACTTTCACATGAAATCTACTGTAATTTCTATTAAAAAAAACTATTTGACACCTTAATTCTTCTCTGATGAGCTCTCAGACGCAGCATTGGATCGACGAAGGTCGTCGATGAGTCCGCTGAGCTCTTTTCTTGCAGATTCCCTTCCAAACATGAATCCGTACCTAAAAGAGTGATCTTTTTTTGTTTAAAATTCTTTCAATTAGAACAAAGAAATTGAGAGGCTAAAGAAAACTCTCAACCCTAGATTGGGGAATTCGATTACCAGAAGGAGATAGCAGAGAATACTCCAGCAGCAGCTACAGTTTGGATCAGTGTGAGCTTCTTCTCCATTGCTCTCAATTTGGGGGTTTAGGGTTTTGGGCACTAAGTCGAGGCTTTTTGTTGTGGTTAGTGATTGTGGGCGATAATACTGGGCTTATTTCGCTTGAGATATTGGGCTTATTTATGCTTGGTCCAAGTTTAATATGGCTAACATCTGAGCACGTGATTTAAATCTCTATGTTATTATTCTCTCTGTAATTGTATACAAATATACAATTTTACTTAATAACATTATTTTTTTTTTAATATTTGTAATCATGTCATTGTTAGTTTGCTATTTACATATAATTCTTAAGTGTTAAAAAATATTAAAAAACCTATTAAAAATAATTAAATGTTAAGTGAGCCAAATGGGCCGACCCGTGTCATGGCTCATCCCGCATGTTCTCGGGTCCATGAGTGGGTTGTGCTAAGCTCTAGGCTCAAGAACAATCGATAAAACACGATTCGCTCAACTCGTTAGGAGTCGCGGGCTGGCTCGCCTTGCCACTGAGCCCGCATGGACCAACACGCGTGACGAGCTAGCACGGCCGGTTGCCCACCCCTAAAAGGACACTTTATGCCCACCCCTAAATAGGACACTTTAACTTTAGAGGATTATTAAATAACCCCCATAACTTAAAACATATTAAAAAACACACATTTAGTTAGTGGTTATTAGAAAACCTCCTTTTAAGTATGATATTTCATCACAAAACCCCTTAACAATGTGACCATAATTTTTTATTGGCAAAAATACCCCCTTAGCTAGTTGTACCCCCACGTGTAAGTATGTGGTGTTCTAATAGCATGTTAGGGGGTTTTCTTATAAAATCTTAAATTGAAAGCGGATTTTCTGGTAACTCATAACTCAATGGAAGTCTTCTGGTATTTTAAAACATATGGGAGTTCATCGAATAATTGTTCAAAGGCTTTTATTATTATTTTTTTTTCGGGGTTGGGGGATGTGTTGTAATATTTAGCCTAAAAAATGCTATAGACATATGTGCCTTAAGTAGACTTTATAACAGATGATTACGTTGATATAATATTCCGATTGCGTTGTTATAATTTCAATGATCGGTCATACACATATTTTGAGTATACTAATATTAGTTGCCATGATATATTATATATCATTATTAGACTACAGATATGAAGCATGCTCTTTAATAGTGTAATAATAAAAATTAAACGCGTTAGTAATAGGAACCTTCTGTCGTCGCTAGTACAAAACTAAGTATCACCTTAAATTAACTTCCCAAGGAAAACGTTCCGTTGCTAATAAACTACAATTCCTACAAAGAATTGTGATTAAAGAATCCTAATCTCTTTGACCATTTAACTACCACTTTTGACCCAGTCGGAACACGAATATTTTTCCAACTGTTGAGTTTGAAAGTCTATGCATGCTCTCATTGCACGAATTGTTCATGACCGCTTGATAATTTTAATTATTATTCTCGTAAATTTATTCATTCTATTTTTGACCAGGCAAATAATTGGTTATCACTAAAATAATAAATAACTTTGATTAAGGAAATCTAGTCATTTTTTATTTATAAGGGAGAGAATCTAAATTCTTATCTTTTTCTTACAGAAAAATTATTTAAAAAAAAAAACAAATAGACATATTATATATATATATATATATATATAGTATTATATAATTATAATATTTATATATATTATATTCATGTGTGATGATGACAACGGCGGGCAACAGCTGCGCCGCTAATCCTTTCTGGAGAGGCTAGATCTACTTCCTCACCCCTCCTGAGGAGGGCTAGATCTGACTTTAGGCGGCAGACGTCCTTGTCTACAGTTGGAGCGGGGGGAAGCACACTTGTGTTGATCTCACGGGGGGTGTCTCATTGGTGGGTTGGTAATGGAGTGTTCACTGTTGGGCAGTGCAGCGGATAGAGCGGCAGAGGCGAAGGTGGGCAAACATGATTCAAGCTTGCAAGGACAACCACACAAGTTTCATCCGTTCCGCGTTCGTACGTTTTGGTTTCCTTGGAGCTGATGCGGTGGAATTCCTCAGGAGGGTACAAAAATTTATGAACGAAGAATGTGACGACGACGGGATCAGCTGAGTATGTGTTTCGTAGGCTGGGTTTTGCAATACAGAAAAAAATTATTTATTTTATTATTCTTTTTTCGGATAAAGTTAAAGCGTAATCTCACAAACCCCCCCCCACCCCCCCCCCCCCCCCCCCCCTTTCAGTGGCCAACTTTGAGAAAAGCCCCCTCAGCTTCATACACACACAGTTTCTTTCATCTACAACAACATTACTGCCTCATGCACGAATTGTGTTTTCCAATAAAAATGTAACCAATAGATCTATTTCATGCCTGCACTCCAATAAATTAACCACCTTCATCATGAAAATACTTACAAAAACAAAGCACTTCCCTCTCTCTTATGTACTTCTAATTTCTTTTTCCTTTCCCTGACACGCTGCTAGAACTCTCCCCCCTTGAATCTCCTGACCCTCCACCACTTTCTTTAATCTGAGCTATCTGCTTCAGGCTCTCAACAACCTCACTCATCTGTGGCCTTTCTTTTGCTTGTTTCACTAAGCACTTATCAGCAAGCTTTGCAATCTCTCTGGCAGCTTTAACAGAGAACTGATACTGGAGCCTAGGATCCATGATCATGTTGAATCTTCTGCTTTCTATTGGGAACTGTTTCACCCAATCGAGAAGCTTTTGCTCGTTTGCTGGACGATTTCTTTCAAGGGAGCGTCGCCCAGCGAGGAGCTCGTAGAGTACCACACCAAAGCTCCATACGTCGCTTCTTGTTGTCAGATGGCCTGTCTCTATGTAGTCTGGAGCTGCGTATCCATATGTTCCTACAACCTGATATATACAATATCATATGAA